GCGGTCATCTGGAGGAGAAGGCTAAGATAGCTTCCAAAAAGTTAGGAGTGCTCAATAGGGTGAGACGATATTTCATGCCAGAACACCGCCTGAAATTATATAAAGCCCAAGTCAGGCCGCATATGGAATACTGTTCTCACCTGTGGGCAGGAGCGCCACAGTACCAACTCCTTCCGTTAGACCGCATTCAAAGTCGGGCGGCTCGAATTATCGATAGTCAACGCCTTACTGTCCGACTTGACCCATTGAAACTGCGCAGAGATGTTGCGTCTCTGTGCATCTTCTACCGAATTTATCATGGGGAGTGTTCTGAGGAATTGTTCGGATTGATACCTGCTGCTGATTTTCACCACCGTACAACCCGCCACAAACTAAAGTTTCATCCCAATCATCTGGACGAGTGGCGGTCTTCCACCGTGCGTTTTTCAAGGCACTTTCTTCCACGCACAACCATTCTTTGGAATCAACTTCCAGCAGCAGTATTTCCGAACCGATACGACAACATAACCTTCAAGAAAAGAGTATATTCCTTTTTAAAAGGCCGGCAGCACACCTGCAATGCCGCTGGTGTTGTGGGTGATCATGGGCGGCGGTAGTCACTTACCATCAGGTGAGCCGCATGCTCGTTTGCCCCCTGTGTTGTAAAAAAAAAAAAAAAAAAAAAAAAAAAAAAAAAAAAAAAAAAAAAAAATACAGTATTACTTATTATATTTATTACTAGCGGCCCGTACCGGCTTCGCGTGGTTCGGGTGGACATTTTTACATTTTAAAAAGTGGCCATTAAGGCTGCACACGCGACGGAAGCATAAAAATGGAGTAACTTCTCCCGTTTTCCCAACATTTCCCTTCACTGCTCTGCTCCTATTGATCGTAGCGTGATGAAAAGTATACTATAACCTGGCCAGGAGTATGAAGAATAATTGTACCAAGTTTCGTTAAAATCCGTCGAGTAGTTTTGTTTCTATAACGAACATACAGACAGGCAGATAAATTTACTGATTGCATTTTTGACATCAGTATCGATCACTAATTACCCCCTGATAGTTATTATGGAAATATATTTCATGTACAGAATTGACCTCTCTACATATTTATTATAAGTATAGATTATATTGTATACATACATTCGTTCTTTTTCCAATTGTGTCGGAAGAGGCGGTTAAAAGAAGTTATTGGTCAAAGGATTGGCAACAGCGTCACACTTAAAACACTACCAAAGTCTCTCTGTAGTAGCCAATCCATCTGTCAAGCGTGGCAACTACGGACAAAACCCTCCTAAAAGGCCTATGTTGGATTGTATGGATGATAATGGAATGGTTAATCACGATGGTTGCCAGTGGGAACCGCGTGGAGGTCGACCTGATAGGGTATATTAATAGCAATATGGCTGTTAGACCCCATTACTAACAATCCTTTTACCCCCTATGCAACTGTTTCGGGCGCCTGGAGCGGAGTGTAAAGTTTAACACAATTTACATACAATTCCACTAATGTATTCAAACTTGTAAGGTATTTTATTTTATACAACTTAGAATGGCAAACAAGCTGACGGTCCACCTGATGAATGAAGGACGCTGCTGCCCATCTCTCGACTGTTAAGTTCCCTTAGTCGCCTCTTACAACACTCATGGCAAAAGGAAGGGGTGACCCATTCTATGCTGGAACCACACGGCGTTAGTTAAAGACAATATACTTTTTTTTTTATCAAAACATGCGCCACAATTTTTCCCCATAATGTAGGGTAAATGTACCATTATCGGGCCATCGGAACGTGCTAAGTGCAACTGTCACGTATCGTATCGTTGGCACGTTTTGTGTCATATCTGCCATCTCCTGACCGCGCCGTAGGAGTGGTTGTAACGACTGAAGCACTAATTATGTTTAATACAACCTAACCTTTAACAGTATCTTGCTATTGTTGCTATAAATACTCGTATTTCCATGCAACGATACAATGTAATATAATAGAGCAATCACTTCTAAGAATATGTAATTGTTCGTTAGCCTAACACTAGATTAACCTATATAAGTGATTCATTTGCGTGACTGGAATGAAAAGTAGGTAACCACTATGGTACAAGGTTTTAGCTTTATAAAGAAGGATTCCAAATTCCTCTAAATGCGAACCATATCCGGCATGAACACTCGTAACTTTTGCTTGACAGCAGAGATATGTGACAGGTAGCTGATATTGTAAGTACAGTTTTCCTGTGTTGATTTTTTTAAATAAATAATTATTTATCAAGATAAAATATGGTCAGATTTTAAGTTAGATCTTCAGAAACGCAGCTGTGAAACTGCATTCAATTTGGTGCAGTAGTTTTTGTGTGATGCCGAAACGAACATAGAGAACAAACAGGTATAATAATAAAAAAAAAAAAGAATTGTTTTAGTTTCTGTTACTGTTTTTAAGACCCCTCTTATCAATATTTTTTAAATACGAGTATCTCTAACTGGCGATCCGGCACGGCTTCGTACGGGTAAATAGAATTTTCGAAACTAATATATCCTTTCTTCCACGCACAACCACTCTGGAATCAACTTCCAGCAGCAGTATTTCCGAACCGATATGACGTCGTAACCTTCAAGAAAAGAGCATATTCCTTTTTAATAAGCCGGCAGCACATCTGCAATGCCGTTGGTGTTGTGGGTGATTATGGGCGGCGGTAGTCACTTACCATCAGGTTAGCCGCATGCTTGTTTGCTCTCTGTGTTTTTAAAAATAATATATAGCCTACATTACTCGCTTATAATGTAGTTTTCTATATGTGAAAAAAAATATTAAAATTTTGAGTTTATCCATTGTAAACAAATAATAAAATCTTTCCACTTTATAATAATATTAGTATAGATGTACAGACATAATTTAATTGCAATTTTATTATATTATTAATAAATAAAATATTACAACATATATAAAATAACATTATATGTTATTTTATATATTTTGTAATATGTTACAAGCCCAAATTGCAACAAGAGGCCTACAAGTTCAACTCTACCTGCTGCCATCTGTCTCGCTCACTCGCAAACTTCTCATAGATAGATTCGTATTCTCGCCATGATTGATAACTTAATTCAATTGGCCATCCTTGACACCTCGTCTGCAAGTCTATTGTAACATCAAACACGTTTATTTTGTGCTAAATCATACGCAACTATATGTATGATTTAGTATCTTATAATTACATACAATAAAGAGTGTATGTATGCTTGGGGTTTATTTCGTAACGTAATTAAAGGTAAAATATATTATTGGGCAATTTTTTTATACACTTTGTAACGCAAAAGAAGCTAAAGAAAATCGAAACCACAAGAAAAGTAATAACTATCATTTGTGGACATGTTCTCAACGGTTGTTTCATAATTTTTGATTTTTTTTAATTTAAATTATCTCCGTAGCATTTGAATGGTGCATTTACCTTAATAATTCATATAGTATGTATTTTTGATGGGGTAAAAATAGAATGATAACCTCACCTGCCCTTTCGGCATATGCTGGTAGGGTGTCAGTAAGTGGCGATTGCTGAAGTTGGAGTCAGGTCAATTGGCCCTACGTTGCGAATTCACTGTGAATTAACCGCGATGGTTTCCAGAAGGGACTATATAGAAGTCAACCTAATACGGTATATTGCTAGCAATTGAGACTAGCCCCCCTATTTCTGAAGATCCCTTACCCACCATAGAATATTATAGTACTAATGCTATGCATATAATTATAGACTCATTATGGGTGCCCTAACTGGGCATATGCCGGTAAGGCATAGACTATACAAGATGGGTTTATTTTCGGACACGCTGTGCAGACTGTACGGTAAGAAATCGGAATCCATGGAATACTTGGTGTGCAACTGCGATTCGTTGTACGTACCGTACGCACGTACCTTTTGGGGGGAGACGAAACTGCTAGTAATTAGTATCAGGTCGACCTCCTAGTGGTTTCCTCTGTGAACCATTGTGATTGAATTATTGTTAGATTCGTCACCATGGGCTAAGTGACCTGCTTCATCCTCACCTATCATTCCTCACTTGTGCTCTGCCAGCGTATACTGATAGCGCAGGCGGGGTTGCCATTCCATTAGCATCCATTAAAATAGTACCTCCTATTTGAAGTCTATTAAAATATTTAAAAGTACAGATGTACCTAATGTACCCACTTACCCCCTATCCACACGTTCACCTTGTACCAATGAACTGCGTACTATGTATTGTTCAGTGACTTTACTTTTCAATTCAATACAATAATTCTAATGACATTTACTCGTTAATAATCTGGTTACCGGCTCACGCGACCGGTCTACGCGATTACGGTAATGCTAAAGGGTAGTTGTGTTTAACAGGCTGTATCTGTTCTCGTATCTAACATTTATTAGCTCGTGTAGGAACTATTATTTTTAAGTAACTGTAAAAAACGAGGCGGTTCTTTTTAAATGCCTACAGAAAGAGATGGTTCATTTTGATCGATTACAAAAAGAAGTTTGTTTATTTTAAATTATGAGTAACTATTTAAAAAAAAGGGTCTTTTTAAATGAGTGTAAAAAGAAGGTAGTTCTTTTAAACGAATGTAAAATGAAAGAGGTTCTTTTAAACAAGTATAAAAAGAAGGAGGTTCTTTTAAACGAGTCTTAAAAGAAGGAAGTTGCTTTAAACGAGTGTAAAAGGAAGGTGATTCTATTAAACGAGTATAAAAAGTAGGAAGTTGCTGTAAACGAGTGTAAAAGGAAGGAGCCACTTTTAAACGAGTATAAAAAGAAGGAAGTTGCTTTAAACGAGTGTAAAAGAAAAGTGATTCTTTTAAAAGAGTGTAAAAAGAAGAAGGTTTTTTTAAACGAATGTTAAAAGAAGGATGTTCTTTTAAAAGAGTGTTAAAAGAAGGAGGTTCTTTTTAAATGAGTTTAATAACGAAATGGCTATTTTTTTATATACAGTAAAAACGCCATTCGTCCAACTTTATATGTATTTATTAATAATTAACATTTATAATATTTAATTTGTTACAGAGATGGCAGCGGAGGTGGTTCGTCTTGTACGACGATGGGGAGCTCACATACTCGTTGGACGAACATGTAAGTCTATTCCATAATATTTGGCAGTAAATAATACTCAATAAAAATGGCTAATATCGGTATCACTACGATATCTATTTTTTTTTTTGTTGGATGAAAATGGATTGGTAACCCAGCCCACGCAAACGGGATACGTTGGCGGAGCACCAGTGAAGGGTGATTGATGAGAATGAAAACAGGCCAGTTAGCCTATCTTGACGAATTCAACATGAAGAATCAATCATGATAGTTTCCAGGAGGAACCGCGTGGAGGTCGACCTGGTTAGGTATATTGCTAGCAATGAGATTTTTAGTCTCCATTACTAACAATCCCTTTCCCCCCAATATTAGTTTCATTTGGACGTTAAGAGTGGGTCAGAAGTATCCATATGCAGAGGACTCATGTACAAAAATTGGTTGTCGCATTTAGATCACCATAAATTCTACTCAAACGATTTCAACAAATATAATCACATGTATTTGAAATTAAAAGATTTTCGTGTCCGTTCTATATATATTTACATCTACGGTATTAAATCTCTTACATTTTTCCCGGGCATTCATAAATATTCATAATTATTGGAAGTTCTATATCTAGTTGGCTGATGAACGATACTGCCTCTATAAGGCTCACGCGTCGGACGTAGGGTATAAAAACCTTACAACCATGGTGTAACCAACGAAGCGGCTTTGATATTAAATATAATTTGAGTTCGAGTTCCACAAAAAACTAACTTCAATTCAAGTAAAATGTTGATTTAAGAGTTAAACTGAACTACACTTCACGTTCTCTTTTTTTTTTTTTATTAATTTGTTTATGATACTGTTATTGTAAAGTGCGATAATTTATTCAGAGTTTGTTCTTTTCAGTTTTGGTTGTAATGTTTTATGTATTTGTTGTTAAGTGTGTTGAGTCTTCCATCCGGGAAATAGGTATTGGCGACCCGCACGCATGCTAAAGGTAAAGGAGTTAAGGGGCCGCCTGAAAATCAGCGCTATATAGATACTTCTCGCTAAAGCTGTACATATATAGCAACAGCTGAGGCGGCTTCTATTACCAGCAACATTGTTTTTTTTTTCTTTTTATTGTATTTTTTTATTTTCTTAATACTGGTAATAAAGGTTATTTATCTATCTATCTAACTACTGAATTGATTTGATAAAACTTCTATGGGTCAAATGAATGAATGAATGAGTGGTTTACTTTCTCTTCACAAAAGCTAGTATAAAGTGACAACTTGAGGTACAATTTGATATGTAAGACCAATTTTGTGAGAGACTGGTTGCCTGCAGTAGGTTTTGAAGAACCTATATTACAAGTGAAATCTGAATCTGAAAGATAAAAGAAAATCCAAATTGATTTATAACTGACAAAATAGGGGAGGAAGGGATTGTTAGTAATATGCCTTGTTAGGTCGACCTCCGCGTGGTCCTATCTGAAAATTGGTCCCAGCATAGAATAGGCCACCTCTTCCTATCCCATGGATGTCGTAAGAGGCGACTAATGGAGGGCGACGGATGGGCAGCAGCGTCCTTTTTAAAACATCTCCAACGGCTAACTGCGATTGCTAATCCGCCTGCCAAGCGTGGCAACTACTGGCAAAACCCCCCAAGGGGAGTCTTATATTCAGCAGTGGACAGTTAAAGGCTGGTATGATGATTTTGATGATACTTTTACATGTAGCCTAGTTTATAAATGGAGGATTTAAAACTTGTCAGGTTGGCACATCGAATTTTGATTAATAGCTAGAAACTAGTTGTCTATGGTACGCTGACGTAACACCACAATAAATAAATAATTGCTTGCCAATTAATCTATGCATCGTATTATATGTATTGATGAGAAAGGACATATAAATATCAGCTTTTAGGGTTCCGTGCTTCGTTACATTTTAAAGGACCATATCAATATATTTTGATGAGCTCACTGTCGAGGTTTTTCCAAGATTCCAATTTAAATGTTAATTAAGTAATTAAATGTAACAATTAATATGTATTTAGAATAACTATTTGGACTTATTTAATTGATGAATTTTTACTTTAAAAATGTAAGCCACTAAAAAGTACTAACATGTGCTGAGACAAAATTTGCATGCCTTTTAATAAGAATATAAATAATTTATATTTATTTTTATGTATTTTTATTATTTGCATGTACTTCATTGTTATTTACACACATGCATATGCTTTCTTTATATAATTTATAATTTAACATTGTTCGCCAACTGCATTAACCTTGCTGTGTGTACACCTGTCTGGGTCTCAATCTAGTTCAAACTATTTTTTTTTATTGGATGAAAATGCAGTGGTAACCCCGCCTGCGCTAACGGGATACGCTGGCGGGGCCCCAGTGAAGGGTGATCAATGAGGATGAAAACAGGCCAGTTAGCCCATCATGATGAATTCATCAGGAATTAATCATGATAGTTTCCAGGGGGAACCGCGAGGAGGTCTACCTGGTTGGATATATTGCTAGCAATGGGATTCTTAGTCTCCATTACTAACAATCTCTTTTCCCCCCAGTTCAAACTATTATCTTTATTTAAATGTTTATAATGTTATTGATTGTAACCTGTTGAGTATACCTTTTAATAAATAAATAAAAAAAATAAAGCTAAATGTGTAGCTCCCAAAGCGGATTGAAGTCAGGCAGGCCGGTCGTAAAACTAAAAGCAAAATCTTTTTGTAATATGGATAAAACCATATTTCGCCGAGCCCAAGTAATAATTGGGATAAGGGTAGGAAGATGATGATGATTTATTTATTTATTTATGAGACAGCATGGGGTTCTTCAAAAGGGGGGTACAAAGAGGTTTCTTCAGGGTGGGCAACGCGCGCGTAATGCCTCTGGTATTGCAGGCGTTCATAGGCTACGGTTACCGCTTGCCATTAGATGGGCTGCTTGTTTGCCATATCAGTGGTATAAAAAAAAATTAAAGTCGATTTGTTTTTGGAACTTTAATTGTTATTATATTACTAGTTGACTCGGCAAACGTTGTTTTACCATATACATTATTTCTAGAAGTATACATGAAAATATATCGTACTACAATTATTATATTCGATTGTCATCTTGCAACCATATTGTGGCATATAAAAATTGCGATTAAACAACAAGGGTTGATCGTAAAAGCGTGAAAATTTGAATTTGTATGTATTTTTCAATGCTAAATCATAATAAAGTAAAAATAAAAAAAATTGACAAAAAAATTATTTAGAAGTGGGTCACCCCTATCATTGAGGGGTATAAAAAATAGATGTTGGCCGATTCTCAGACCTACTCAATATGCACACAAAATTTCATTAAAATCGGTAAAGCCGTTTCGGAGGAGTTTGGTAACAAACACCGCGACACGAGAAATTTATATATTAGATTTTGAGTACTATTTATATACGGAACCCTACACTGACACATGTTCGTTTCACACGAACATGTACGAGGTCTGTCCGGAAAGTTCGTATAAAAGTGTTCTGGAATGCGAGAAAGAGGAGTGGGGAGGCCAGGTAAGCGCAGGACCCCTTCCTTATGTCCCTAACAATGCTTCAGTTCTGGTCTGACCGCCGTGCGGTGCGAACTGGCTTGTCACGCCATCTGTGAAGTTACCTCTTAACGAAACCCCGTCGGCATGGAGCCCGCTTCCGTTGAAGAGCAGCGCGTCGTAATCAAGTTTCTCTCGAAACTCGGCAAGAATGGCCGTGAAATTTTTGCCGATCTCAGAACAGTTTATGGGGATGATGCTGTGAAGGAACCAACCGTCCACAAGTGGCTAAAAAGATTCAGAGAGGGCCGAGACAATGTTGATTGTTTTTTTCGATGTTCGGGGGATTGGCCATCAAGAATTCGTCCCTCCAGGCCAGACAGTTGATGGAAAATTCTACGTCGATGTGCTCAGACGCCTCAAAGCTCGTGTGGCACGAGTTCGTCCAGAATTGGCGCGAGAGGGGCGTTGGATTCTTCACCACGACAATGCCCCTGCCCACACCTCTCTTGTTGTCCGTGAGTTTTTGAGTAAAAATTCCATTACGGTGACCGAACACCCCCCCTATTCGCCGGATTTGGCCCCGTGTGACTTCTTCTTGTTCCCAAAAACCAAATTGGTACTTCGGGGGCGGCATTTGGGGGACATAAATGAGATAAAAAAAGCTACGACGGGGCAGCTGAGAAACCTACAACCAGAGGACTTTCAAGGAGCCTTCTCACAGTGGAAACGGCGTTGGCACAAGTGCATTATGTCACAGGGGGAGTACTTTGAAGGGGATAAAATTGATTTACCTGAATAATTGTAAAATAAAATTTTTAAAAAACTTTTATACGTACTTTCCGGACAAACCTCGTAACTATTTCCTGTCGACATGCTTTCGTATTATGCAACATTAACCTTTCTGTGATAGTGTATATGTTGCAGTCAAAACTCTTAACCAGTCAAAAGTACTTTTTATTTTAATAGGTGATAATGGAATGGTAACCCCACCCGCGCTATCGGTATACACCGGCGGGGCACCAGTGAAGGATGATAGGTGAGGATGAAACAGGTTAGTTAGCCCATCGTGACGAATTCAAAAAGAATCGTTCACGATGGTTTCCAGGGGGAACCACGTGGAGGTCGACCTAATAGGGCATATTTTTGGAATCAACTTCCAGCAGCAGTATTTCCGAACCGATACGACAACATCCTTCAAGAAAAGAGTACATTCCTTTTTAAAAGGCCGGCAGCACACCTGCAATGCCGCTGGTGTTGTGGGTGATCATGGGCGGCGGTAGTCACTTACCATCAGGTGAGCCGCATGCTCGTTAGCCCCCTGCGTTGTAAAAAAAAATGCTAGCAATGGGGCTGTTAAACTCCATTGCTAACAATCCCTTTCCCCCTAGTCAAAAGTACTATTGTCTGAACAGGTTGGTCAAAAGTGGTTTCAACGGAAAATTATTGGTTATTAGTACTTTTGACTGCAAATTTGCGGTTAGGTTAGGTTTTTTTTATAATACTTAGAATGGCAAACAAGCTGACGGCCCACCTGATGGA